TCATGATTGATTGTTCGTGAACGAGGATTCGTCCTTTGGTTTTTAGTTAGTAGTTAGTAGTTAGTAGTTTTATGGCGTGAGTGAGGGAATGTGCTGGGCATTTTCTTTTAATCAAAAAGCAATACGTAGCAATAACAGTATGCCATGGTACTTGTCTTCGGCTAAGGGATTTTCTTTTAGAAATGCACATAAACTATCTACCCTAATAATTTCATATTCTTCAGAAACAATATGTATCTCGATACAACACATATCATAAGGACTGCCACCCTTAAGGCAACATATGCAAATATGAAATCAAGCGTACTTAAGAAAATATCCGCTAGTGAAATCAGCCCCACTCGGGGTTTGCGGCAGGGCCATTATTTACGCGTGAGGTCAGAAAGGCTGCAGGATTCAACCAGATCCCACACCAACAACCAGGGTGGATCAAGAAGACGTCCCAGGAACTTGGACATCTCAGCGCCCGCTAAGACTCGAAACGTTTGAAGGGGTGTCCGGTTGACCTTGCGCGCGCTGCCTTCTAGCGCTCTCGCTAACAGCCGGTCCCCGATCCTGGCCACGTGCACGCGATCGCGATCGGTCCGTCCCTACCGCGCGTCGTAATATGATTTTACTCAGACTAAAGAATGTTTCATGTTCCTAACTCGACCAGATGCTCGAGTAGGCTCGATAGGTAGCGCACTTTGAATTCGTAAATGCTCAGTGAGCCTAACTCGACCAAAAATGCTCAGCCTCCCCGGGCCTCGCATAATAAGCATAGAAAAGGTATCTTTTGACCTCTCGCAATGGAAGGCTGCAGCCAGGGTTCGGTAACGGGTTTCCACAGAGGTAACCGACATAAACAATAATAATTATAAAAGTAGTATTATTAATAATAATAACAAAACAACCAATCAAAACGTTACAGCATGTGAGCCACAAAACAACAATCGTGAAAGAAAGGTAACTGGATGTACTGTTATTACTTTTTATCTTTTTTGCTTTACTTTCAGGTATCCAATAATCTCTAATGCAAAATTTTACATATTTCCAGAAACGTCATAATACTAATTATACACTTTTTCAGCTGTTGACAATATAATGGTGCTTCCCCTCATATCATAAACAACTGGGGCCGCTGACCAAAGAAAATAAAACTGGTACTACGGGTGACCAAAATCCAAGCCCGTACCTGAGGCTGCGAAAACGATATGTAGAACCAGGTGCTTCCGGCCGTGGTATGTCGTAAGGCCTTAGGCTAGGTACGTGTATCCCCGTGCCTTTTTAAAGGCACGAGAATATCACATCCTCAGTAACACCGTATCTAGAAGTAGAGCCATTCCCAGAGTTATGCCCTATAAGGTGAGGTACTCAAATAAAATGTCCTTCTCAGGCCCGGGAAACAAAGAATAATGCAAAATATCTTCACTCGGAAACAAAAATTACTATTGCTAAAATAATGTTAAAATTTTGCAACATGAGTTTCTTTTCCTTTCACCGCTTACGCAGTGAAAACGGTAGTGGATAGGAAAAAAAATGATAATACTTTTTTGTACATAATTGAATTCTCTACGAAAAGTCCGTGAGAACACCTGTTTATCTGGAGCAGGTAAAAAATACAGCGCTCCGAATGCGCGCTCGAAAAATGACTGAACATATACATAAAATAATCGTTTATTAGCTGATCGTTATCTCAAAAAATAAATAAAACTTAATAATAATCAGTACTGTTTGAACAACACTTCTTACGTTTTTTAGCAACAATGTTCATACCAGTTTCTATTTGCGATATTGTTGTTCCTGTTAAAACTTGTTCAGCTCTCATTACATTTATAAAAGAACTAAAAATTGCATGCGATACACGGACTTTGCCATTAAATGAACGATGCCAGCCTTCTACATCATTGTTTCATCGCATGACATCATCAGGAGTTGCTTGATAGCAATTCCATAAAGATAAATTGAATTTTGGATTTTTCCGCTTCCTACCAGTACAACAACGTTCACTAATTTAAGTGCTCTCAAAGTAATTAATTAAATCGCTGAATAAATCTTTATTATCCTCATAAAACTGTGACCTAATAAGTTCTTCATGAGCCTCAATCACGTGACTTTCAACGGCGTTTATAAATGCTTGTTCGAAATCACTCATCACTCTTCGAGGCTCCAAATTTGGTTGATAACGTCTAATTACAGGCAGTACAGAAGTATAGAATTTTTCCGATTTATTGAATTGAATGTACCATCACAACACCACAAGTAGCATTGAGCTAATACTTTCAAATTTCTAGCAGTACTATAAATGGGAAAACGTTTCGAACCTCCTCCGTTGTCCTGTAACAGAAATGCCTAACCATCATTCGTCACTTGCTACATATTTGGTCTAATCAATTCTCTTAAAGTCTTCAAATTTACTACAACAGTTCCATCAGTTTTCTTGGCTCGTTATACCGTACGCGTTAGTGATGTCATTTTTGGTAACTGAGCTCATATAGGTGATGGCACATTACTCAAACCATTGGCAATCAAAACTCCATTCATTGCTCAATCCTTGCAAGCTTTTTTATTCAATTTTTCTTTCACCTTCAGAGTTTCAATACCAACAACATTAGTAGCATGATCATGAGAAAGCGGAGTATCAATAACTTTACCTATATTACACACGTAAATCAATTATAGTGATGCATACTATTAAACAATAAATAGAAATAATAGTACAAACTTGATCAAAAAACCAAACATATAACATACCGGTTGTTTTATTACTTGTTGTATGAATTATACTATTACATAACCTCTACCGATACTCTATACATCGCCAGGTAATATCTGTCTTATTCAGACTTTTTTTATTGTATATATACCCATCATTAAATAGTATTCATCCACCCAGAAATTAACCCGGACTGCCATCTCCCGGTATTAGATGACCCTAGGATCAATTATCCTGAAGATAAATTATCATTGACTTATTAACTTCCCAGTGGGAAGTTATAGTAATGGGTCCGATTTTGCGAATCGCTAATTTTGACATATCTCCACGTTTTAAGGTCCCCAGAGTTGAATACGATAGTTTTTACGTGGACGTCTGTGTGTGTGTATGTACGTATGTGCGTATGTTCGTATGTGCGTATGTTCGTATGTTCATACGTGCGTTCGGAATTATTTTTCGCCTCGATTATCTCAAGAACAAAAAATGATATCGACGTGGGACCAACTGCATTCGACGCGTAATTACGTAACTTAGTACTGATTAGATTTTCAGCAGAATCGGTCCAGCCATTTTTTATGCAGAATCAAAAAACTGAAAAAATAGTGAACTACCTAAATTCTGCAATTTATAAATTATACCATTTTTTAGACGGAATTTCGAGATCTTTTGAAAAATATGGATATCAAATGTTTAGAACAATTGTACAGAAATATGATGACAGTATTTCATAGGAAAAAAAATTTTTAAAAAACGAAATCAACAATAAAGAAATTTTAAACTTGTGTTGGGATGGAGAAAATAGCGTTGAGGATAATAAAATAGTCAATGATTATTGTTAATAATAAGAAATTGTGTTAATAACGATTAAACATTGTTAATAACAAATGATTATCGATCATAATAATATTTGAATAAAAAATTTTTTAATTGTTATAAACAATAAAATTAGAGATTTATGCAATATATTTGAATTCTTTAAACGCGTAATTTTTTCTTTTGCTAAAAAAAAGTTACCAACCGTACGACATGAATGGATACTCATTCTTTTTGTTTATAACAATTAAATCTGTTATAAACAATGAAAATAGAGATCTATACAATATATTTGAATTCTTCTAACGCATATTTTTTTTTAAATTTTTTTCACTGGGAAGTTGGTCGTGTGGACCTTTCGGGTCGCACCCAGACCACTGCCGAGCACTGATATTTTGTCGTCGGATCAATTACACTAAATATTAAATGTCGCGGTTTAAATGTCTGCGAGCTACTGGTCGTGTTACCAAATTTTTAAGGCTGGGCTGTACCAAAGAAAAACTCCGAAGTTGACTTTGCGCCTTCCCTTTGTGCAGTGGAGAGCGGAAGCTCGACGTCAACTAAAATTGAATATGTAATAGGGAAATGTGCAGCAAAGAACAGGATTAATACGAAATTTAGTGGCACAAGTCGGAACCGGGCTCATTTCATAGAGAAAAATGCGCTGAATTTAATGAAGTAATTCCCAGCCAAAAAAACCGCCCGCGTCGTATTTTTTTTTCGAATTCATTTTTATTTGTGAGATTTTTTATCTCAAAAAGTTAAAAAAAACATTTACTATAGCAGCCATGCTGATTATTATGCCAATTTATCGGTATTATTGATATTACAGTTTTCTAATCGATCGATAATATCGCACACTATTCGTACTATTTCGTTCCACCACGAAAATTCCCCTGACCTCAATAAAATTTCAAATGACATTTCATCATATTTTTTGTATGACTAATCAGCAATAATGGCTGCCACAGTAAATGATTTTTCAATTTTTTGAGATAAACAATCTAAAAGTGAGTAACCGTAGCTAAATTTTTTTAAATATAATGCCAATGACTCCATTACTATTTTAATAATTACTTTATAAAATATAGTTTGATAATTTGTTGTTTCCTTATTGGGGTAATTGAATATTCAAAACTTGATTAAAATATGCATAAAAAATATTTCTTATGTGTTAAATTGGATTTAATAATGTGACAGATACTTTTCAATGTCTAATAAATAAAGTGATATAGAATGGTGAAAAATATTTGGTTGAAGTAAAGAAGAAGAATAGTCATTGTGAGACTTTTAACGAGTTAAGAAAGTGGGAGTATGCAACTGGTAAATTAGTAATTGTTACTGATTTATCACTTATCGAAAAATCTCAAAAAAAAAAAAAATATTTCCAACATCTGAAAAAATCTGGAAAAATTCTGGAATGTTCAGAATCGTTCTCTGAACATTTTCCAATTGAAATTAAAGATTAAAAAATTGAATTTTCTTAGCTTACCACTTATAGATTTTTCTTCAATGTCTACATATGTGACTTCGAACAATTGTTCAGATGCAATTTCTTGTAAGAATTGTACCAAATTTACCACACCATCATTCAAGCAGGTATTCTGTAAGAAAAACATACAAAACAATCAATTTAAAAAAATGATATTATGAAATTTTAGAATTAAATTTGAAAATTTTTTGTCCACTAAGCTGATAAATGAATAATATGTCATGAATAATACTTTGAAGAATTGATACAAATAATAGAAGTTACGTTCAACTTTGCAACTACAGCATTTAATTATATGGTTTTATAAAGGTCGTTTATTCATATTTACAAACCTGCAATTCAGACAATTTCAAGCCGGCGGAAGACTTAAGATTTTTATGAAATTGTGATACTTTGTGACTATGAGGTGTAGTAAGTGTTGATATTTTACTATCTTTTAAAGATGCATATCGAGCTGTTATATTTATTACATTCCGCTCAATCTATAACGGACATAAACGATCTTTATTATTTTTTAAATTCAAAACTCCATCAGTAATATGTATTCTAGCAGATAATTTTAATCAATAAATTTTTCATTAATTATTACTTTTTCATTAATATAAGCTTTATTTCAATTTGATAAATAAAAAAATGAAGTGGAAATGACCTTCAAAATATTTCATCATTATAAAATAAAAAAAATACGTGTTACACACAAGGTCTTGTTTGCTAATCGAAAAGCTACAAAAAAAAATCTTCAATTGTTAACCATGCCAAATCATTATATATTACAACTTAATAGCATTTACCTGAAAAATTGGTTAATTCAATAGTATTTGTTCCTTTCCAATTAATTTTTACAATGAGATGTAGTCCGTTACAGATATGTGAATGGAATGAATAAGAGATCAGCGAAGAATAATGATAGAAAAAAATATAAAAAATCACGTCCACTTCATCTATTTATCTGAATGACAATAGTACATTATAGAGTTATAAAATAAAGATAGTTCGCCATGTAAGTAGCATTATTCTACTTTTCGATTAACGTATAGTGTACTAATTACTATCGGGTATTGTCACTTTTGATTCCAAATCTATTATTTGAAATAATTTTAGCAATTAAAAAAAATATAATGGATGTAAATTACATACACTTGTGATAAAATACAGATGTAACCTTTCAAAACTAAGACTTAAGATAATTTAAAATTTCTGTTAAAAAATCATTTTTATTAATAATACTATAAATTGAAAAATGTAAAATATTTACCTCATCTTCATCTAAACCGCTACCACCACAGCTGGAAACGGAAGTTTGATCTGTTGCATCTCGTAAAGCTTGCCACATTTTATGAGCTGCCTGACGTTTTGCTAATTTTTTACTTTTGCCTTGTCCAACTTGTTTATATTTAAGCATCGAACATACAATTGTAAATTGTCTTTCGTGTGGAAGACCTGCTTCACCTTCCATAGTATATTTTGGTGGTGGCCAATGTCTTGACATACACATTTCTTGAAGAGATCCAATAGGATTATTAATAACTTTATCTTCGCCATAATTTCCTGTTACATCTTGTTGTACATTTTGCGAACTTGACAAACAAAATTATTAGATTATTAGATATATTGATACAGCTCAGCACATATTTATTCACTTACTCGACCATATTATTCATTATTGGTGCATCTGTTGTATTATTTTCAGGATTACTGACACCAATTAATTTATCCAAAACAGCCTTGGCAGCAGCATGTTTAGCGTCTTTTTTGGACCTACCGGTCCCCATAGCTGAAACAATTGGATCTACTTCAATAATTTAATTCTTATAAAAAAGTATCTAATAATAATAGTACTATTATTTATCTTTCAGTATACATTACAGGATACAAACCAACAACATCAGCAACAGTTACTCGGTAACGAAAAGTTGGCTCATGAACTGCGCCTTCAATTTGCACAAGTTCATATTTAGGGGTTGTACCTCTTCGTGATAATAATTCTTGAAGAACGGAGACAGGAGTTTTGGTTGGTAGTAATTTCATTTCTAATCTTGCGGCTTCATCTAGCGGTAAAGCTTCAGACATTAAGGCATGCATTGTTCCTTTTGCTCTTCCTCGTCGATGGGTATTATTTGTTGATGCTGAATGATTGAAAATTATTGGCACACTATGAGGTAAAGAATTTGTGCCTGTTTGCTGAGAATGACGAATTTCTTCCATGGTAAAAACTATGAATGAATTTATTCATATTAGAATTCTTTGAATATGTATAAATTCATGACATGTCTTAAATGTATAGATAATGATTGGCAAATAATGTTTTTGTTCACTTCGAGGATGAAGGTTTTTTAACAATTTACATTCACGAAATTCACTATATGAAAAGAGCATAGAAATAAATGAATTTCATTTAGAAACTTACGAATGTAGATGTGCACTTGAATTCACTAAACCAAATTATTCAGAGTAAAACAGATGCCAATTTCTATTCGAAAAGCGAATCCTGCTTTTTGTGACTGATCCAAATCTCACAAAAAGCTTGACCCGTTTGACGACAGAAAAATGGATTTGTCTGTTTATTTCTTGTCAGGAAAGTATCTGTTCACCTTTACCGTTTATGAATTTTACTGTCTTAAAATACATTACTTAATGTCTATCTACATAGATAGCTAAATATCATCGTTCGCAACAAAAATATATAGTAATGCAAAAACTTTCGGAAAGATGTCATACAGTACTGGACATAAATGACGTGTGAGAGATGGCGTTACAATGTATTCATGAGGAAGTGCCATAGGGTAATAGGAAAGAGCAGAAGGCCTACCATATTAAAAAATCCAAAAAGAAAAATCCCTTCGTAATATTAAGGCTGGGCTGAAGTCAGAAAGTTTCCCGGAGTTGACTTTACGCCCTCGTGTTGTGCGGCAAAAGGCCGAAGCTTGACATCAATTGAAATTGAGTAGGTAACAGGGAAATCGTTCGAAAAATGATAATTTTTAGGGATGCACTACAAAAAGGGAGCCTTAGGGCACCAAGAAATTTATAAATTTCAGAACAATCTGTTCCAAGCAAGACAGAGCATATGTATATAGTTTTATGTATATGTAAATAATAGTACGTACGAGTAAAACTTTCGTAGTAATTAATTCGGGATAGTCTGTAGATTTTTCTTGATTTTTATTATAAACCATTTTTATTATAATTTCCAGTCAATTTTTCTTTGCTGCAATGTATTTTTTTGTACACTCATTGACAGTTTTTGAATTACATAAAAAGTTTCACTTTTGACGCTGTTAGTTTTGGACTGACGCATACATTTTTTGTATCTTCATTGACAATAACTGAGAATAAAAACAATATTAAAAAATTTTTAATATGAAAAAAAATAAGACAAACATCTGAACAAGCAATTTCCATCGCCAACGACTGAAATTGAAGTTTTTTGTCCATTCATTTTCATTTATCAAAAATATTCAAAAATAATTTTAATTTCAATTACAAAAAAAAATATTTCCATAAATAAAGCAACACTAGTTATAACGACTTCTTCTGATGAACTGAGACTTACTTGCTCTTCTACGTACGTAAGATTGTACAAGTCTAAACTAGTCCTAAATTTTATATAAATAAATAACATCAATACTGCTTGACTCATATACAGAACATATATTGATAAACTGAATAACATGATCGCCATCAACAAACAATGCCCTGCGACTATTCTCGGCGTCTCCTCTTTGTGCGGATCTTCGTTAATTTTTTCCGCCTCAATTACATGCAATTTGAATAAAAAAAAAATTTTGCCGCAATTGGAATCGAACAACGTTCGGTAAAATAACTGTCGAACGTTCTGACTACAGAGCCAGCATATTTTCATTTGCTTTGTTTACGTTTAGAGATCATAAGCTTCAGGCTTGGTAACAGAGGGTGGG